ATGAGAATGCCTCACTGAGAAAAGGTACCAAGTCATATGACTAAAGATAGACAAGAATTATGGGTTAATTTAAGAAATAAGAGCTAGTTAAAAATAAGCCTGAGCTAAAAGGCCAAATAGTTTATAATTAATATAAGCCTCTGTGTGTTTCTTTGGTACTGAACAGCTGAGGGATTGGGCAGGACAGAAACTTTTAACTACACTCAAGGGTCAGAAACCTGAAACTAGAGGTCAGAGATCTACAGGAAAGTTAAATGAAAGACCTACTAAAAGAATTTAGCAATCGAATGACTCCTGACGGCATTCTGCTACATACAGAGATCAGTGTTTTGCCCAGCCACCATCAGAGACACTTCCTACCGCAGTGGATGGTAACAAATACAGAGACTGAACAATGTGCAGAAAGTGAGAAAGCTTGTAACACCCAGTCCTAAATGGGATGGGATGTCTCCATGAAATCCCCACCTCAGGCCTGAGGTGACTCTGTGGAAAAGACTGTAAGAGCCAGTGGGAACAGAGGACACAAAGAAACAAGGCCTTTTGAACACAGCACCATCAACACACACATGAACTCCCAGAGACTGTGGCAGCATGCACAGGTCTGCAAAGGTCCGCATAGGTCTGCACGGGTCTGCTCCAGACTGAGTACCAGATGCCTGTTCTGTTTTGGTTTATAATAACAAAAAGAAAGAAAGTGTGGATTTGGATGTGAGGGGAAGTGGGGAGGATCTGGGAGGAGTGAGGGAACCGTAGTCAGAATTTATTGTATGAAAAAATCCATTTTCAATAAAAGAAAATGTGGGTTAATTTAAAATGTATGCATTAGCTAGTAAGATCCTGAGCTATTGCCCGAGCATTTGTAATTAATATAAGCCTCAGTGTGCTTATTTGGGAGCTGCTGGTGGAACAGAAACTTCCAACTACAGAAATTGTGCCTGGTACTAGAACTCAAGCCAACTACTCAAGGCTAGGGAGGTCACGGATCTTTGAGGAGAACCTATGATCACTTACGTTAGTTGTTTAAATGCTATTTAAATCCATTTAGAACATGTTTCCATTCTTATGTTGATGCAAAGTAGAACTCTCACCTCAAAGGGCAAAAGAGATTGCTAATTCTTGAAAGAAATATAAGTGACCATGACCCAGGAATGCAGATTTAGGCTGGCACATATAACATGCTCAAACATGGAAACAGTTTCATGATATTCTGTAGTTACAGGACAAAATAAACACATAAATCCAGGAATTTTTTTAAACACATCAGTTGAATATCAGTTAGGCAGCTCCCAGCAAAGCGGAGAGACCCCGCCACAGTCACAGGTACTTCTCGGTGACATATTTGGCATTGGAGTTGATGGAAGTCTGTGGTCTGCTGTGAACACATTCCAAAGGGTTGCACGTCATAGTTGCAAGAATGTGAGGTCAGATATGGGTGTAAGAATGAAGAACTAATAAGAAGGCAAAAGATATTCAAGATAATTTAGTTCTCCTAGCATTCCAACTCTCCATCAGTCCATCTGCCTTACAGAATCTTTCTGTGGGGGAAAGGGGTGCAAGTGTGCATGCTGGTACTCAGTCTCCACGGAGGCAGGAGAACAACCTTGGAATTTCATTCCTCAGGCACTGTCCATCCTCCTTCCTGTCTCTCTCCCTCCCTCCCTCCCTCCCTCCCTCCCTCCCTCCCTTCCTTTTTTATTTATTTTATTTTTTGAGAAAAAGTTCTTCCATTGGAGTAAAACTCCTGAAGAGGGCTAGGCTGCCTGGGAGGCAGGGAGCCCCGGGGCTTCCGTTCATCTCCACCACTCCAGCACTAGGGTAAGAAGTGCACACCAGCAGAGCCATTTTTTAAAAAGGAGGGGGCGTGGTGGTGGTTCTGGGGATTGAAGAAAGGTGCTATGGAGCTATCTCCCCTGACTCCCAACCTTGTAGAACCTTTAACGGGAGTGTGGCTGTTTTCTGAGAACTTTGGTTCACTTTTATCTGTTGATTTTTCCTTGAGCTCTTCATGTTGCTAACATTTGTTGCTTGTTATGCCTGGCACTTTTGCCACGGTGTCACGTGAGTTCATACATTCACCTTACCACACAAAGTGCTATTGTTATTCATGTTTAGCAAGAAGAAAATTGAGGCACAAGGAATTTAGATAATTTACACGGGATTCATAAGCTGAGTAGGACTAGGAACTCAGGTAAGACAGCTTCCAAGCACTAGATTTTAACACTCACCCATAACATCTTTCAAATATTAGTTAATATCACTAACATTCTAATAACATAATAATAACATACATGAGAATGACCATCGTATGCCCTTGGGACTTCAAACATAATACCCCAAAGTATGGCGCCGTGACATGCAGTACTTTGAGAAGGTCCCAGAAGCAAGGTCTGTCCTGCCCTCCTTCTTCTCTCTCCAGTTTCCATTTGGATCACAGAGAATAAAACTTCCACCCAATGAGATGGGTGATCTGAGAATCCCTCTCTCTAAACTAGTCCTCAAACCTAGAAGGACTCTTTCACATTCCTCCACTTTTCTGTGGGAAGTGTGGTAGTAAATGATTTTTTTTTTTTAACCTACACACTTGAAAGCAGGTCAAAAGGCCCTCATTCCAGAAGTCTTCCCCATGACTCTTGGATTTTCTGTCTTCCTACTTCAGTTTGTCCCTGTCAGATCCTGGTCTTCTTGTCCAATCCTATTTCTCTCAATCCCTCACCCATCCCATGAGACTTAGCATAGAAGCACGTTTCCACAGCTCACTGGGTTGCTGTTTCCGACAGTTGTTACCTCATACTTTGTTTATGCTTTTATCCTGTAGATCTTTTTTTTTTTTTAATACAGGTTATTAGCAAAGAACTCTAGCAAAGCCTGAAAAGGTGGTGTATTATTTTTCTTTCATGGTACCAAACAGTGAGCTAAAAGTATACATCCAAATGTCCTTCGTGGTCTGTCCTCTTGCTATGGACTTGCATCTGCCTCAGCACTGTTGCCAGAAGCGAAGCTGTAACTTTCTCCACACCGCTGCAGCTGCGCCCCCACAGGGCTTTGATACATTCTAACTTTGTTATTATTCAATTAAGTAGACTTTCTCATTTCCATTGCATCCCATCCACCCATATCCTTGGTATACTGCTGTGATTGTAGACACTGGGAATGTCTTGTCCACTTGCTGCCAGTTCAGTCTACTATAGCCACTGACAAACAAACCAGCATAGTGTACAAGATTTGAACGTGTTGAGCTTTTACTTTGTGGGTCAACATAGTTAATATTAGTTTCTGTATCCTGATCATCAGGTTTTCTGTCTTTCCAAGCACCCTTAAGAGCTGACTGTGGTTTAGAGCTCACTGGGTATACAAATCACACTGAAGGGCAGGCCCTATGCCCAACACTAGATGGCCTATACAAAACTAACTCTATTGTATTTTTTGAGATTTTATTTCCCATGTTGCTTTGTTTAGGCATTTTTTTTTATCCTACTGCTCTTTTACTTGTATATTATGGTTTCTGATTTTGTTTTCTGCAGGTTTTGTGTGTGTGTGTGTGTGTGTGTGTGTGTTTCTGTATGTCTGTGTTTGTGCTTTTTCTTTGCTGTTTGTTTGTTTTGTTTTATTGATTTTTTTTTGCCTGTTTGTTTTCTAAAGAGAAAAGAAGAAGGCATGGATTTCAAAGAATGAGGAAGTGGAGGATGATTTGGAAGGAGATGGCGCAGGGAAAACTGTGATCAGAATATGTTGTATGAAAAAATTATTTTCAATCTTCAAGGTATCCTGGTTATTCCACAAAAGAAATTAGACTTAGACAGTATGGACTAAAATCCAATTATTTTTGGATTTCATGATTGGTTTTATCAAGACTCAGTCTCTTTCCCCATGGATGAACTATTTCACCAATAAAATATTTATGGTCTTTTAACATATGTATTTAAGCTCTTGAGGTCTTCTCACTCCGAGGATAATTACCATAGGTGACTCTCACTCAGTAGTGACTGACCCTGAAGACCTGATCAAATTTTTTACCTCTTGAGTACTTTAAAGACAAGTTTAACCTTGCCATTATAAAATAATTCCTCTGCTTATGATTGTACCAGTGTCTGTGTATATGGGTAGATATTTATACAAATTGTTGAAATGTATCTTGTTCTAAATAAGACCTTAAATTGTTAATAAAGTTAATATACAAATATAATAAAACAATACCTAGTTGTCAAAAAAAATTCCTTCCGTATGCATCTCTCCAAACATACACCATCCAGCAATAAGTTAGCTCAAATTAGTTTCCTTTCTCTTTTCTTGATATTCAAAATGTAGTAACTATTATTTCTGATGGAAAACAGCAAAGGAGACCCACTTGGATTCGCCCATACTTTTAACTTTTTCCTGCAGCTAAGGGGAGCAGAGCAGGCCTGGCAAGGGGCAAGCCAGGTAGGTTGAGGCTAGGGGCGGGTCCGGAAGAGGGTTGGGGTTTGGGGCAGGACAACCAAAAGGTTGGGACTAGGGGCTGGACAGTAAGAAGACTGGAAAAAGTGGGGGTTGGGTGAGAGGAGATAAGAGGAACTAGAGATGAGATTGAGAAAAGGGGAGGACTAGGGTCCCACTGGGCTAAGAGGGCAGGGTTAGTGGGCGAGCCGGCTAGGAGGGCGGGATTAGAAGCGGACCCGGTAGAAAGTTGGGAGTAGGAGAGGACGAGCTAGCTAGAAGGGCGGGACTGGGGCCGGCCGGGTAAAAGGTTGGGGGTAGGGGAGGAGGACCAGCTAGCTACGAGGGCGGGACTGGGCGGACCGGTTAGGAGGGCGGGGCTGGGGTGGGCCGGCTAGGAGGGCGGGACTGGGGCGGGCCTGGAAGGAGGGCGGCGCCGAGGGGCGGGGCATCCCGGCAAGGGGCGGGGCTATGGGCGGATCCTCCTGGTCGAGGCAGGACGAAGGGCGGGGAGAGGGGCGGGGCCATAGAGCCCCGATATGGGAGGGGCGGGCCGCACGGCGCGCTGACGTCAGAGCGGGCTGCGACGCGGGCGGTGGGCCAGAGCCGAGGCGGCGGGGCTGTGTAGCGGGGCTGGGTCTGGGCTGCGGCCGGTCAGAGCACCTGGCCCAGCGTCGGCGGCTCCGGGGCGGGGGCGCCAGCGGCGAAGCCCCCTCCCCGGGGAGGCGGGGTCGGAACAAGGCCGGGGAATCATGCATCAGAAGCTGCTGAAGAGCGCGCATTACATCGAGCTGGGCAGCTACCAGTACTGGCCGGTCCTGGTGCCCCGCGGCATTCGCCTCTACACCTACGAACAGATCCCGGTGTCCCTCAAAGATAACCCGTACATCACCGACGGCTACCGGGCCTACCTGCCTTCCAGGCTGTGTCTCAAAAGGTACAGCGGCTGCTCCGCGCGGCGCATCTTCTCCTCTCACGCTTTTTGTCTGGTCTCCCCGCCTTCCTCCGCTTTCCCCTGTGCGCATCATTTCCTCACCTCCGGGTCCTTAATATTTCTGCTGCCCCAGCTCTTCTCCGGGGGTCCTTGATCCACGAGATAATGATACCATCAGTGGTCATCGTTGCCTTCCCCAATAGCCCTTTGCTTTTTACAAAGCGCTTTTACATCCTTTATTCCGTTTGGTACTCTCTGGGGATATGGGTTGGATACCCCGCTGACAATGGCCGAACCTTACTTGCTTTGTGTATACCTGAAGCTTTGTTTCTAGACCAGCACTGTGGGAATTCAGACGTGTTGGCCAGCTGAATGCCCATATAATAGCATGCTGTGAGTGTGTATGTGGGAAGCCTTGATTTTTCAACCATCTAGCAAATGTGCATGAAGCCTTTGTGAGGTGGTAGGCACTCTACCAGATCCTGCAGGAGGCAGGCATGGCCCTTGTTCCCATGAAGCTACTATGGTCTAACATGAGTGGCAGACACTAAAGAGATAATTACACAATTACATAATAGTCATTGTGGAAAATGCTGTGTAGGAAAAGCCCTGTAGCAAAGAAAGCTGAAAGGGGCCGGCCAGCCTCCAGCAGAACACCTTGGAAGCCTCTGTACAGGATGGATTTGTCGCTTTAGGTCTTTAAAACCAGAGTCCCAAAAGTCTCTTTAAAAACAAAACAAGCAAATCAAAACACGTGCCTTTAGTTTGCAGAGTAGTCTTCTGTCAGAACTGACTGTGTGTACTAAAGTCAACACACTAGCAGAAGTGCAATAGAACACTCCAGCTCACTGGAGTGGCAGACTCTGCGTCCAGAGTGTGGGTTGTTGAATGGCTCAAGCAGCAACCACTTGTCTGATCGTTGACCTTTCCCACGTGGTCTTTCCCCATTTTTGTTACCTTGAAAGTAGTACTGAAGAAATGACCAAGTGGATGTCACAATTCAAGTTTTAATTATTGCTCATTCCCTAGTGCCCTGTGAACATAATTGCATAAGAAATCAGAGGTGCACCTTGCCCTGAAGATCTCGGAGGGCAGGCCAGCAGTGAACTGCTGTAAATGTTCTGTTCCCCCCTAGCGGTGGTCCTCTGCATTCCGATGGCTTGAGTCCAAATCTCCAGGCTGCACAACATTAGCTCTTGTTGTTGAGTCAGACACAAGTTAAGCAGCCCGACTCCTGTTAGCAGCTTCAGAAATTTGAGCAAGAGTTACCCTGTTGATTTTAAAGATGGACAGAATTTGCGGGTGCCTAGCTTTTCTGACAATAATGACTTATCCTTTATTGGGGATATTTTTCCCGCAATATAATCGTACCCAGGTTGGGTCTTTGCCCTCCCTTCTTTCACCCTTCAACAGTCTCCAGGGCAGACTGTACATATGAAGAGAGGTCCTGTGTGTCCATCCATTCTATCTGCAATCTCTTCCGGGATGGGACGCGCTTAGAGTGTGCTTAGTTAATCAGGTTATACTGGGTTTCATAAAATGAAAACTTCTGAGGCAATAGGCAGAATGTAGTGTTGATTGCCAAAACAGTCCTGTAATTAGACGCTTCTAGAACATTCTTTTAATTCCTCCCCCAGTTACAGATAGTCTTTGTGTTTGATGATAAGCATGATCAAGTCTGTGTTTCCAGATACAAGGTATATTTTATTCTTGATCATTTGAGACTTCCTTGTGTTTAGTCCTCATAAAAATAAGGCTGTGGGAACCATGGGGACTGTTACAAATGGCCAGCTATTAAGAATTTCTGATTCAGGACCTGAGGAGATGGCTCGGGGCTTAAGAGCTTTGGCTGCCCTCCAAGAGGACTTGCCTTGGATTTCCAGCACCCACGTGGCAGCTCACAACCGTCTATAACTCCAGTTCCAGGGGATCTGATGCCTTCTAGCCTCTTTAGGCACCAGGCACACGGGTGGTACACAGACATACATACATACAGGCAAAACACCACAGACATGAAATGTAAGAATAATTAAATCTTATTCCCCCCAAATCTGATTCATTAACAGTCAAGGCTTTTGTTTAACAAAAGTGGCGATTTTGCTAGAGACGTGGCAGGTGTGTTTAAATCTCCAGTTATGGTGTCTGTCATCTTGTGGTAACAATGCAGAGCCGTTTCCCAAAATTGAGAGCGCTGGAAGCAAGCAGCAACATCTAACACAACTCCTTTTCTTTATAGATGAAGAAACTGATGCCGGGTCAGGGTAATAGACTCTCTCCTGGCCTGTGCTGCCAAGACATCTTAAGAGGACAAAGAGTCCCCACACAAAGTAACCTCCTGATTGTTCCTAAAAGGAATGAACTCGTGCCACCTAGAAACAGGTTTCAGAACTTGCATAGCAAAACTGCTCTGGCTTGCCTGCCTGTCTTCAGGACCTTTCCAGTGGGTTCATCTGTGTGTATTTTGCTTCTCCTAGATGCATTGAGTTTTGTGTGTGTTTAGCGAGTGCCTCACAGGTATTTTACATTTATGCTCCAGCTAACACTGAACAGTATCTCGGGTAACTGGTCCTGGCAGTTTCCTAGCTTACATAGAGTATTTGTCTGCACACTTATTTCTGTAGAAAGTGAGGAATCTGAGCAAGGGCTCTGCTTCAAAAAGTGATGCAATAGGAGGGAAGAAATAGTAAGAACACTAAGAGCTGATCATCAAAAGCTGTAAGCCCTGGAATTAGTGGAAATGGAAGAACATCACAGACAAACTCAGACGTCTAATCTGAGAAAGGCAGGGCTTTCCCTAACCCGAGAATGCTGACACCATGAACCCGGGCGGATCTGAGCTGCGTGTTTGTTTACTTTGCAGTCTGTTTATTTTATCCAATGAGACGGTAAACATCTGGAGTCATCTGCTGGGTTTTTTCCTCTTCTTCACCCTGGGAATATATGACATGACATCCGTGCTGCCGTCGGCAAGTGCGTCCCGAGAAGATTTTGTAATTTGCTCCATTTGTCTTTTCTGCTTCCAGGTGAGTCATCTCACAAACACCGTGCAAGGTGAAGAGAACTTTGTTGGGCTTGCCTGGGCGGGTGACTGCTTCAGACCCTCGCTTTGAAGAACCCCAGAGGGTGCATGGGATAACCTATTTGCTCATAGCATCATTATTACACCATATTTGAAATCCACAACATTTCAAAGATAGTAGAAACTGTTTCTGTCCTCTCTCTCTCTCTCTCTCTGTCTATCTGTCTCTCTCTCTCTGTCTCTCTGTCTGTCTGTGTCTCATGGTATAGCCCAGGCTGGCACTAAATTTCTTACCTCGGCCTCCCTCTTCATGAGACGCCAGGATTGTAGGCATGTATTACCATGCCTTGCTTTTTTATCTTTGTAGACATCTTGGCTGTAAGATTAACACTAGGATATGAGTTTCACTGTACTATATTATTGGCTAAAGTGTCTACTTCAAACCTGTTTGGAAAGCCTCTTTCTATGTCCTGTTTAAAATATATGTGTGCCTTGTCTTTGCTGTCTCCACCCTGCCTGTCTCGGGCTGTCTTACCTCGCTGGTGTTGACCTTTGTTCTAAGACTTCAGAGTCACTTTCCCTAGGTCCCTTTGCTTTTGCTAGGATCTGTATAAATGTCCTTAAAGTTAACATTTACTCATTTTCAAACAGGTGTTTTATTTATTTATTTTTATTGAAAATAGACTTTTGTAGCTGGGTGGTGGTGGCACACACCTTTAATACAAGCACTTGGGAGACAGAGGCAGGTGGATATCTGTGAGTTTGAGGCCAGCCAGATCCACAGAGTGAGTTCCAGAACAGGTAGGGTTACACAGAGAAACCTCAAACAACAACAATAACAAGAAGTAGATTTTTGTTCATACAATATATTCTGATCACCCTGTCTCCTCCTTCATCTTCTCCCAGATCCTTCCAGCCTCCCCACCCATCCAACTTCATGCCTTCCTTCTGTCTCTTTAAAAAACAGTCAAATACACATAGAAACCAGAAAAGAACAAAATAAACAGGGAGAGAAAAAAAGCAAGATAAGTCCATACACATGCTCACACACATGGAAAACCTGTAAAAACACAACATCAGAAACCATAATATACAAGCAAAAGACCACTAAGGTAAAAAATGCCCAAATAAAGTATTATAAGCCAAAAAAAAAATCTCCAAAAATTACCATCAAGTTCATTTTGTGTTGGCATCTGCTGCTGGGCATGATGGTGGCCTTTAAGTATACACCACACACACACACACACATACACACACACACATACACACACACACACACACACACTCAGTGCGACTCCTTTGGAGAAAACTAATTTTTCCTTTGTGAGTGTTGTGAATTGGAGATAGCTTCTGGGTTAGGGATGGGAGATCATATCTACTTTATCTTCTCCATACTGGGACTCCATCTGGCTTAGGCCTACGCAAGCCCCGTGCACGCTGCCAGAGTCTCTGAGTTCATATATGCATGCTTCCTTTCCATCCCCTCTGGCTCTTAGTTCTGCAGGGTTCCCTGGACCCTGAGGTGCCATCCCATTTAGAACTGGTTGGTCCAAGGTCTCTCGCTCTCTGTATAATGTCTGGTTGTGGATCTCTATTTGTTCCCATTTACTTCTGGAAGAAGCTTCTCTGATGCTGGCTGAGCAAGGCACTAATCCATGGGTATAGCCCAGTGTTGTTAGGAGTAATTATATTGCTACACTCTTTAAGCAGAACAGTAGTGTTTGATTTCCCTCCCTGGGTCCATGGCCTCCCTCATCCCAGGTTCTTAGCCACCCAGGCAGAGTCAGGCCTTAAATCCTATCAGATAGTGGTCAGTTACCCCATAACTTTTGAGAGCTATTGACTGCACCGGCATATCATGTAGGCAGGGCACCATCAGAAGTCGAAGTGTTCAACAGATCATTTTAAAGCATGAAATAAATAGAGGCCATAAGTACACTGACATTTTGATAATTAAAGAAAATACAGAATACAGAACAACGTTAAAAAGGAAAGGCTACTGTCACATTTCCTCCTGCCAGTCACAGACCAGCACTCTGCACTTGAGCCTGTTCTACCCAGCCGGAAAGGGGAGCCCAGAAACGAACTGCATAGTGTTTTATTGCGTCTTATATTTCAGAACCTTGTCATTTTGCTCAAAACTTTGGTTTTAAAAGGAAACATACTAGAAACATCTCAAATTTTCTCTTTAGTAACTTCAGGTTTAGTTTAGCAGATAGTTGTTTAATGCCCTGTATACTTCTGGGCCCTGTGATGGTGGGAGTGACTCTCCAGTAGTAGTGTGTAGGACTGAATAGAATGCCCGTGGCAGTGAGATCAAGTCACGTATGTGGGAGGGCGGGAAAGTCAATGCAGGCATTTAAACAGGAAAAATGCTGGGTAGAGGCCCAGAAGCCACAGACAACTCAGCGTGTTCTGGACTGAGAGGTGTTCATCTTTTCAGCTGACCCTGGGGTGGTAGAGGAGGAAGGAAAGGCAGGCAATAGGCCGGGGCCAGACCTTGGCATACTTTGTTATCCTGCCATTGTGGTGGATATAGTGGGCGTACACTGGAATTACCTTCCCCGTTTGGTAGTGCAGCGTGGCATGGTATGCTTTCCGCTAGATCTGAAACATACCAAATTTGTCAGAAATTTTAATCTTCCTAGGAACTCTTTACAAGAGTACATGCCTCTTCAAACAGAACATACAAAATGTAGGTTTACCTTTTAAAACTTTCAGTGCTTTGTTGACAGAATTCTCTTTTCCTTTTGATACCATAGTGTTTTTTCCTCAGGCTCCCGTTTCCACAATGAGGTAAAGTTTATCACTGATCCTGTAATTCCTATCAGTTACTCATGTCGAAATTCAAGCAGATAAAAGTTTATGAAGGAAAGTAAAAGTCACTTGGAACCCCACTTCCACAGGAAGCCACGTGTGATATCGCATCGGTAATAGACATTGCCACCTCACATCTTCCTCTCTGCCTGTCCACTGAGTACCTCCAAGCCACGGTGGCCCCCGCTGTGTCATTTCTGTGACAATGAGATTCTTCTCTCTCAGAGAGCAGATCCACCATGAAGCTCTCCAGGCTCATGTCACATAAGCACAGGGATATCCAGAGAACACGGCCTAGCTGGTACATGCTGTTGGGCCAGCCACCTGTGGTGCATGAGAGTCAAAGAGCCGCAGGCCAGTCAAGTGTGACCAGCAGCTGAACTAAATCTGCGGTTAAGTGTGTCATTACTGAACGTGGACCCTGAGTCTCTGCAGGCTGGTTAGGCCTGCTATAGCTGAGTGTCCACTGAGTGTCTGAGCAGCCAGCTCAGAACGCATGTGTCAGCACATAATAGATTAGAATTATAATAAGTCCATTTGACTAAAGTATTTTTCATTTGTAGACATGTATCACAGGTGTAACACATGTATTACAGGGACATATAATATGTTAGCAGTAGTCACCTCTAAGGAATAGATTGAATGAGAGGGGTTTATATTTTTTGCAGCATACAATTCTGTATCCTTCAATCATTTTTAAGGGATATATGTTAATTTACTGACCAGTATGAAAATAAACTTATTTATGAGTCAGAGTAACCTTGGGAGGTATTATAACAGTATTTGTATTAAAAAACGCATTTTTATTATATAATTTTTTGCAGTATATTTACAGTTTTATATTTAAAAGTAATTATAACTTTTAAGTCTTTAGTGACTGTGGTCCCCATTTTCCTGATGAACTCATGAAGCTTAATGGCAGCTTGCCCTACAATGAGGTGCACAGCTAGAATTCAAACTGAAGTGACCTTGGTTGGAAGCCTGGCATCTTAGCCAGCTCTCTGAAGAATATTTATGAATTATTCTGATTTTGTTTTGTCTCACTTTGTTCGTAAAGTCAGCTTTTCCTTTTGCAGGTCTGTATGCTTTGCTCAGTGGGCTATCATCTCTTTTCCTGTCATCGGTCAGAGAAAACTTGTCGAAGATGGATGGCATTGGATTATGCAGGCATTTCTATTGGAATACTGGGCTGCTATGTCTCGGGAGTATTTTACGCCTTTTACTGTAACAATGTGAGTGTTCACACTGTCACACTATCTTTTACTGTAACAATGTGAGTGTTCACACTGTCACACTCTATCTTACTGTAACATTGTGAGTGTTCACACTGTCACACTGTCTCTTACTGTAACAGTGTGAGTGTTCACACTGTCACACCATCTCTTACTGTAACAGTGTGAGTGTTCACACTGTCACACCGTCTCTTACTGTAACAGTGTGAGTGTTCACACTGTCACACCGTCTCTTACTGTAACAGTGTGAGTGTTCACACTGTCACACCATCTCTTACTGTAACAGTGTGAGTGTTCACACTGTCACACTCTATCTTACTGTAACAGTGTGAGTGTTCACACTGTCACACCATCTTACTGTAACAGTGTGACTGTTCACACTGTCACACCATCTTACTGTAACAGTGTGAGTGTTCACACTGTCACACCGTCTCTTACTGTAACATTGTGAGTGTTCACACTGTCACACCGTCTCTTACTGTAACATTGTGAGTGTTCACACTGTCACACCGTCTCTTACTGTAACAGTGTGAGTGTTCACACTGTCACACTATCTCTTACTGTAACAGTGTGAGTGTTCACACTGTCACACCATCTCTTACTGTAACAGTGTGAGTGTTCACACTGTCACACTATCTTACTGTAACAGTGTGAGTGTTCACACTGTCACACCATCTCTTACTGTAACAGTGTGAGTGTTCACACTGTCACACTATCTTTTACTGTAACAGTGTGAGTGTTCACACTGTCACACTATCTTACTGTAACAGTGTGAGTGTTCACACTGTCACACTCTATCTTACTGTAACAATGTGAGTGTTCACACTGTCACACCATCTTTTACTGTAACAATGTGAGTGTTCACACTGTCACACCATCTCTTACTGTAACATTGTGAGTGTTCACACTGTCACACTCTGTCTTACTGTAACATTGTGAGTGTTCACACTGTCACACTCTATCTTACTGTAACAGTGTGAGTGTTCACACTGTCACACTATCTTACTGTAACAATGTGAGTGTTCACACTGTCACACTCTATCTTACTGTAACAATGTGAGTGTTCACACTGTCACACTCTATCTTACTGTAACAGTGTGAGTGTTCACACTGTCACACCGTCTCTTACTGTAACAGTGTGAGTGTTCACACTGTCACACCGTCTCTTACTGTAACAGTGTGAGTGTTCACACTGTCACACTATCTTATGTAACAGTGTGAGTGTTCACACTGTCACACTATCTCTTACTGTAACAGTGTGAGTGTTCACACTGTCACACTATCTCTTACTGTAACAGTGTGAGTGTTCACACTGTCACACTATCTCTTACTGTAACAGTGTGAGTGTTCACACTGTCACACTATCTCTGACTGTAACAGTGTGAGTGTTCACACTGTCACACTATCTCTGACTGTAACAGTGTGAGTGTTCACACTGTCACACTATCTCTTACTGTAACAGTGTGAGTGTTCACACTGTCACACTATCTCTTACTGTAACAGTGTGAGTGTTCACACTGTCACACTATCTCTTACTGTAACAGTGTGAGTGTTCACACTGTCACACTCTATCTTACTGTAACAATGTGAGTGTTCACACTGTCACACCATCTCTTACTGTAACAGTGTGAGTGTTCACACTGTCACACTCTATCTTACTGTAACAGTGTGAGTGTTCACACTGTCACACTCTATCTTACTATAACATTGTGAGTGTTCACACTGTCACACCGTCTCTTACTGTAACAGTGTGAGTGTTCACACTGTCACACCGTCTCTTACTGTAACAGTGTGAGTGTTCACACTGTCACACCGTCTCTTACTGTAACAGTGAGTGTTCACACTGTCACACCGTCTCTTACTGTAACAGTGTGAGTGTTCACACTGTCACACTCTATCTTACTGTAACAGTGTGAGTGTTCACACTGTCACACTCTATCTTACTGTAACATTGTGAGTTCACACTGTCACACCGTCTCTTACTGTAACAGTGTGAGTGTTCACACTGTCACACCGTCTCTTACTGTAACAGTGTGAGTGTTCACACTGTCACACCGTCTCTTACTGTAACAGTGTGAGTGTTCACACTGTCACACCGTCTCTTACTGTAACATTGTGAGTGTTCACACTGTCACACCGTCTCTTACTGTAACAGTGTGAGTGTTCACACTGTCACACCATCTTTTACTGTAACAGTGTGAGTGTTCACACTGTCACACTCTATCTTACTGTAACAGTGTGAGTGTTCACACTGTCACACTCTATCTTACTGTAACAGTGTGAGTGTTCACACTGTCACACTCTATCTTACTGTAACAGTGTGAGTGTTCACACTGTCACACTCTATCTTACTAAACAGTGTGAGTGTTCACACTGTCACACTCTATCTTATCCAGGATTTGTTTCCTCGCAGTGGTTTAAATCTACAAATGCACACTTGGCTTACAAATAGAAGAGTCTTGTTTGGGTACGAACTTCAATTTCAGAAGATTCCCGTGATCTCTAATATCTAGTATGGGTTCCACGGTTATTTTGTTAACATCTGATGAAAAGTATGACTGTAACTGTGGAGCTGCAGCCCCTAGAGAATGCAGCTGCATGTATGTAGTATAACTGTGAACCTCAGGACGGGGAGGCTTAGGAGCTCACCCTCCAGGCCAGGCCGAGCTACACAACAAAACCCTGTCTCAAAACCGTGAAGACGTTCTACCAACCTTACTCCCATTATATTCTTTGATATTTTCCTTTTCTCATCTGACCTCTTTTCCTGTGCCCAAACTATGCTTCTCCCCGAGGGGCAGCGTACCTGCTCGGGATTGTAGCTCTCTTCCCAGAGAACCAGGCACTAATTCCCAGAGCCACCACTCTGACTTCAATTCTGGGGATCCTACAGCCTCTTCTGCCCTCTTTGGCATAAGGCATGCATGTGGTACACAGACATACATGCTGGCAAAACACAATACACATAAAATTTTAAAAAGTATTTCAACGACTAAAGAAAAAAATCATAAACTAGGCTTGAATTATATTATTAACTCTCTGTGTTTCATGCCTAGTTACGTTATAACATAATATGTAACTAAATATATATATGTAATTAAAGTATGAGTTGATTGGATTTTACTAGAAAACTGTTGGTGTTTACCCAGAAGCAAATAGCACTATTCTGTGTGTGATTCTGTGTCCTTAAAGGTAAAGTAAGGAAAAACAGTGTGCGTTCACATGCACACTGCTGTCCTGTCCATTCACACTGCTGTCCTGTGCATTCACACTGCTGTCCTGTGCATTCACACTGCTGTCCTGTGCATTCACACTGCTGTCCTGTGCATTCACATGCACACTGCTGTTCTAGTCCATACTTATATCTTCCTGTTACTTCCATTTACCTGCATCAAAATGGGGCATTTACTTTATAAAAAATAAAAATTAAAAAAAACTAGACAAAGAAGAAAACAGTTAACAGTGTACAATTACACTCGGAGCTACTAGATCCTGGAGAAGAGAACGTTTAGTTTCTGTAGTGGCTCCTGCCTTTCAAGGGATGCAGGCCACCTTGAGAACGAGACTGAAAACTGGACCGTTGATCCAGAAGGACCTTTGGGCTTGGAAAAAAACATGACCTGACAGGTAACTTCTGGAAGTGATCGTTCTGCCGAAGTCCTGGGAGCCATGCAGGATCTCTGCCCTTTGTGAAGCTGACTTTTGAACCTGAGACTGCTTTCAGCCATATAGGAACTAAATACTCAAAACTCTTTATGTAGACTTAGCAGGCTTCAAACTTAATATATCTTAGAACATCCTTTCAGGCTTCCTTTATTCTTCTCCCAAAACTTGCCCCATCAGTGATCATTTCCTCTAACAGAAGCCACTTATGTAATCACTCGGGCTAGAAGGAGTCGAACCTTCCTCGGCTGTTCCCTCTCACTCAGCTGTACAACTTTCTGTTATATCAGAAATGCCCTCTAAATCTGATGTGTGTACATACATGCACACACACGTACACACACACACACACACACGCATCATCCCAGCCCTGCCATCTGTTCGAATGAGCTACCCTGACGTCTGTCTGTCCTGCTTCCTTTCACCTTCTCTAGACCGGTATCTGAACTTTGGCCTCAGCTGCCACACTCTGGGGTTGCAGGCCCCTGCCACCAGGGTCAATGTTCACCCTGTTCTTCAGCAGCTCCCGGTGTATCAGCACAGCAGAGTTCAGTCTTAGGCTCACCTTCAGCCGCTTTTTTCCAAACCTCCCTGCCCTTTTCTGCTCCTTCTCCCCACACTGTTTGCGTTCCTCAAGTCCAGCTTAGATGCCTCTTTCAGGAAGTGTCTTTAGCAGTCCCGGGTAACGCTTACTGTTCTTGCCTCAGTGTCTCTACAGCGCTCTGTCTGTGACGTAGTCACAGCACTGTCATCGTGCCCAAAAGATGCCCTTCCCACAGTCTGAGCTCAGCCCCGGGGAGAGGCCACGCACAGGCAGCCTGTTCGTACAACATCTTTTTCTTGCCTAGCGTATAGCAAGTGCTCGGAAAACACTTTTGTACAAATAAGTAAATGTGGTCTTCTACCAGTTCACTGTCAGCTGTGGTTTATCATCCATCCTAAGAAGCTTTTCAGAAACTTAACCTTTGTATGGAATATTCCTTAGAAGGGCATAGGGGTCTTGTTTGGACATTAAAGTCAAGTAAACAGAGCCTGTGGTATTGCAGAGGCCCAAGTGACTGTCTTCCTTTCTTTCTAGTATTGGCGTCAAGTATACTTGATCACCGTGCTTGCAATGATCTTGGCAGTGTTCTTCGCACAGATTCATCCCAATTACCTCACACAACAGTGGCAGAGGCTCCGCCCTATCATCTTTTGTTCAGTTTCGGGCTATGGAGTGATCCCAACTCTTCACTGGGTCTGGCTCAATGGAGGAATCAGTGCTCCTATTGTCCAGGTAGGCTGAGTGTGGTCAGGGGTTTGTTGGGGTTGTTTTGTCCTTCATTTTCATTTCTTGGGTAATGTGCTGTAGTCAGGCCATGTGGGTAGCGCTGAATCCTTTGGGAGCATGTTTTTAGTTGCATGATGAAACATAGTTTTCACCGCTATAGAAATAAGCATACCTTTCAAAACCACATTAGTCTCTACTCATTTCTGCCGAGTCACTGTATGAAATAACATCAGTCTTTTCCTGTCTCGGTATGTGAGTACACACATCGATTCTGGGGAGGACGTCTGAGTTTGCAGTTCTGCCCACTGTGCTAGTGATAAAGCATAGACAATGGGCTAAAGAGGTGGAGCGGTCGGCTCCTTTTGCTGAAGGAATGGTTATGGTTGGACATGTGTCAGAGATGTGTTAAGGGATACAAATAGAAGTAGACACGGGGTTTGAACTGAGATAGAGTTGGAGACGGGTGATGCATATCTGACAGTAGCATCACGCTGGTCGCTGGAGCTGGAGGAGTATGTTCAACCCAGCGAGAAGAAGAAATGGAGAAGTAGAGGAAGGGCTGTTGATTCTGTGGCTTTGGATCCTGTGGAAACGGGAATGTGAGAGGAGAACTCCAGGAGGGCGTAGAGCTCTGTCTTCCTGAGCACCACAGAGCGAGTTTCTGTGTCCTTAGAAATGCCTCTAAAAAGGCTCCAAGTGTGTGCTAGAGAGAGTGCTTGAAAATATTTAATGTGAGTAAATATGCCAAGGCGGATGCCAGTCTCGGTGGGCATGGTGCTGCTTGTCTGGACGCGAATGCAGTTTGTCATCACTTCCAGGAGAGGAAGGCTGTCAGTAGGCTTGCGTTCACTGTGGCACAGAGGAAGACGCTTGGTAACGCAGTAACGAGAAAGGTGGTTTGGGGACAGAGTGAGATAGTGGTGGTAAATCAAGGAAGAACAGTATTCTCTTCCTAAGATCAGGAAGGTAACAAGGCTGGTATGAGTGAGGAGGAATATAACTGTCCTGCTGCGTATGTGAAGACACCATTTTTTCTGGTAATTTGAGCCCCCAAGAATAAGTCAGTAGAATGAGAAGCTGCTACCTGTGATTTAATTCTAACTAGAAAAGACTGACTGGTAGCTGACAGAAAAGTGATTAGTTTTAGAGGTAGTAAATTACAGTCAACTTATGATGATAAAAAGAACAAGAACTTTAGAGTTGATAGATTTTAGGAAATTTTGGATATTCCTATATTCACAAGACTTAGGATAGAAAACAGGTGTATAAAGACAGTGGTTCTTAAAAACAGGATTCTAGTTAGAACACTGGTCATTCTAGTTAGGAAGCAAGGGGGAACCTTGGAAGAAGTTTACTCAAAAGCTCTCATTTTTTAAGTTGGGAAGAGATAACCCTCCTAAAGACGGGTAAGCCTAACAGATGGTTGAAGGTGTCTTCCAGAATAGGTAGAAACCTGAGACTGATAACCCTCAAGATATAGAGTTGGAGAGGCCAAGATCATTCTCATCTAGTTGAGAAGGGACAGAGAAGTTGTCTCTATGTCTTACATGAACTGTTGGTAAATTAGGTGTGTAACCAGGGTCAGGAGCAGATATGTGTCTTAGCTTGCTGACTGTCACTAGAGTCGGGCAGACCTTTAGGCCCACGCACCACAGTGAGATTCGTGTAGCAATGCTCAAGGCATTTCCCTGGGATGTGGGAAGCTGTTCGGGCTTTATCTCTGCTGACTCAGCTCTTGTAAACACGACACTCTGTAACCACCTTGTAGAGGAATTAGGCAATCCCGGGACTGCCACCAATGCCAAAGCTCAAGTTCCATAAGTAGCTGAACTCTGAGGCCACTCCTGTGCTCCATTGCTGTGGTCCTCTTCTGTGGGGTGAGAACAAGAGACCGTTACTATAGAGACCATCCCCAAGACAGTTGAGACTTGGCAGTTTTTAAATCTCACCTCTGAGCTCCAGGAGATCTCAGTAGCATGGGGAAAATCTAAGCAAATGCACTTTTCTTTCCAGGACTTTGCACCCCGAGTAATTGTGATGTATGTGATTGCTCTTCTTGCTTTCCTCTTCTACATTTCCAAAGTTCCAGAACGGTACTTTCCAGGTAGGTCCGGTTCATCATGGTTTGCAGCTTTCTTCTGAAAACACATTTCAAGTAAATGCTTCTGAGACTGAGAGTTTAGTTGGTTTCTCAGCGTTGACTGTGGAAGGATTTTTTCATTCCTGAGCAATATCTGTAACCTTTTCACCAGGCATGGTGGCACACACCTTTAGTCCCAGCACCCAGGAGACAGAGGCAGGTGAATCTCTGAATTCGAGGCCAGCCTGGTTATACAGAGAACCCTGTCTTACAGAACAACAAACAAAATAAAAAGGAAAGGAAGAGTAGGAGGGGAAGAGAGAGGGAGGGAGGGAGGGAGGGAGACAGAAAACATAACTTTAAATTTCAAGGGGCTTTCATAGACATTTTCCGCCACCTTCACGGTATTATTTGGGCCCTGGGGCTGGGGTTGACACTATTATACAGTTATGAGCTAGTGACAGTGCCCATCACACTCCAAGGATCATGTGACTCCTTGTTCTTTTTAGCATGGGGTACTACCATTAGCCACCATGCTCCTCCGCCCATGCCAAGTTGTTCTTAGAGAGTAATTTTCATATGCATAGATACATAAAGCAAGAAATGCAAGAAGCAAGGGTGCAAGAACAGGAAAAAGAAGATGGGTTTGGAGTAATGTTTCTGCACACTAGGGCTTTATCTGTGGTTTCAGTTGCCTCAAACCACTCCAGAGTGAAAACACCACAGTCAAAACTTACAGTATAATATATTATAATTATTACATTTTAATCTCTTCCTTTATCTGATTTGGAAGTTAAACATTGCTGTCGGTATCATATAGGGAAAGGTGGTATGTGTAGGACTGAGTCCTCTCTGCCGTGTTCAGCATCCACTGGGGGCTCTCAGAACGTTTCCTCAGATACATTCTGAAACCAGGGAGCAAGGAACTGTGTGGCTCACGCAGATTCTGCACAGTAGCTCAGGACAGCCAGTCTGGCTTGGAGCTTCCTCACAGACACTGCTAGGGTGACCCTTTCACTGCCCCAAGATACTCAGGAGCCACTCTCAGCAGGAGGAAGCCTCCCCTCTTCAGGCCAACACTGGGGAGCTCTGCTGAAAACCACCCAGGAGACTCTGGGTAAGGTGAGCAAACTTCGCCAAAGCGTGTTCTCCCACACTGCCCTCTGCAGTTGGACTGCCTGAGGTAAACACCATGGTAGCTCAACAAGCTGTGCTCCACATAGGAAAGCAAGCTAATGCTCTCTCTCCTGTGCTTCCCATGAGGAGGAGATGGAAGCTTCCCCCAGAACAGCAGTCCCAGCTGGGCAGTAAGCACTCAGGGAGGGATGGCCCAGTCTTGGTCATGGAGTAAAGTATGAGCTTTAAATAAAGGAAAGAAAGCATGATTTCATTCAGGCAAGCTTTAGCTTGGCTCAAGAGTAACATTTAGGGAACTTACAACAGACTTAAGTTTGGAAGACTGGGTGAAGGCGTAAATCACCTATAGGCTACAAATCCGTCCCTCCTTTCTGGGTTAAAAGTCGCTTAGTCAGGGGAGACACATGAACATGAAGGTAGTTGTCCATCGCACTGTGGGATGCTGAGTCCTTACTTCCCAATGTGGGGAGAGCTGACATTCATTGCAGGGAGTGGGGCTGTGTTCACATTTTCCCCTAAGAGAAAGAGTCACCTCCATGATGCATTAGGGATGGCATAGAACCCTTCTTCACATGCTCTGGAGAGGGAGACAGTCTAGAGGCGGAGTCTGCAAGCATCCCTCTGTGTTCTTGGTTCTTCATTGCTGAGCTTTCAGTCCAAATGGAGTGCAGTGAGAACCGGAGGGTGGACATCGGGACATGAGAACAGAACTATAGCCCTATAATAAAAACCACAATTTGGGTATATTTTTGTATCATTTTATTAATAATTATTTTTAAGGTTCTAGAGCTAGAGGTATATGTAGCTCTGTGATAGAGCACTTACTTGCCTAAAATGCATACTGCAAAATAAATTTAAAAATAATTACATTCATATAATTTCATTTATACTCTACACTATATAAGAATGGCCAGGAGGCTTTAGCCTTACTGTTTTCTAATCAGTTGTTAGGAATTGTCTCTTCTAACACCTGGAAAAGATCATATGTTATACAGCTTTTCTTCAGGGAAGCTCAGCATGAACTGCCTGCGTAGCTGTGTGGCTGAGTGCAGGAACACAGAGGAGGGGAGGCAGGGTGCTGGGAATGCTGAAGTCTTGGGAAAGGTAGTTTCTAGTGGTATCTGTGTCTTCTCCCACGGATGAGAGGAACATGGACAGTGTAGACTGTGAATAGGGAGTAAGATATTTAAAACTAACAACAGCTCTAGTTACAGTACACACCTTAACCCTAGCACTAGGGAGGCAGAGGCAGGCAGATCTGTGAGTTCAAGCCTACCCTGATCTACACAGTCCTAGGCCAGTTAGGGCTACTTAGTGAGACAGCATCTTCAAAAACAAAACAAATATGTATCCCAATGGACCCATATATCTACATGTTCATCAATAGACCATTTATGACAAGATAGCAATGTGTACACACACACACACACACACACACACACACACATATTTTAAATGAATCTCTAGGCTTTATTGGGAGTCAAGAGAAAGGCTAAGAGCCTATCTGGAAAGAATCCTATGGATCACACTTTAAATCCTGTGTTCTGAATTGTGCTTCTTGCTAAGAGGAAGTGAGCTTAGAGTATATACAGAAAATACCACCACAGTAGGACTTTAACGAACAGTTGACAGTTGTTCTGGTTCTGGTTTTTGTGACTGGAAACATCAGGAAGCTTCCCCTGTGTTAGTGATTAATTAGTCCTCCCCTCCTGTGCAAGAAGTAAGTGCTCCTAACAGGTTCATGTCTAGCCATGCAATGCATCTGCTCTCAGTCACATACCTAAATCATGCCCAGATCACTAGTGTCTCTTGCCTTTCATATGATACTTTCCCCCCATCTACCGAATACGTTGAGACATGGAAAACAATAGATCAAATTCATAAAAGTAAACATAACATTTTTTCCACATCTTGTGTACGTGTGTGCTTGCATGTGTGCACTCTTGGGTGGACAAGGACATGCGGCAGTCAGAGGACAACTCTGAGTCAGTTCCCCACTGTGGGCTTCATCTTTGTCTGTGTCCTGTGGATGGGTCCATCAGGCTTGGGGCGGCTGCCTTTACTCTCTGAGCTATTTCATTGGCCCCCACAAGTTACATTTTAAAAATAAAGTTGGGGTCTAAGGCCATACTACTCAAAACACACCTGATCTCTCCTAGAAACCGTTGAGAAGAGCATTTCTCAAGTTCACTTGTATACTTAAAGAGTAAACTTTAAATGAGTTCATCCTCTTAAAGCTGAATTAATCTGCCGTCAGTCTAGCCAGAGGTAGAAGTGTATTTTTCTCTAAATACTGAAATAATACCATCAGCCTTTCTTTCTGCTCTCCCTTCCAGGACAGCTAAACTACCTCGGATCAAGCCACCAGATCTGGCATATCCTTGCGGTAGTGATGTTATACTGGTGGCACCAGTCAACGGTGTACGTCATGCAGTACAGGCACAGCAAGCCTTGCCCTGACTATGTTTCGCACCTGTAAATTCAGGTATGGCCACCTGGTGAATCCAGTCATTAAGCAATATACAGCGGGGAATTTTAGACCCCATTATTTCTAAGGTTCTCATTTTTTTCCTTTTTTTTTTTTTTTGCTTTATAAAAATGGAAAAGCATACTTGGATCTGTAGTAAGAGCTGTGGTTGACCCTTGCAACTATGATTTGCTGTTTGCACAAATGGTGAAAATTTAGATGCATTGAGACGTGGAACAACATTGAGTAGTAGCAGTGGGTATGAAACTACTCTAAAAGTGGGGCTCATTCTACGTAAGACCAACTCCATTTTCCTAGGAAGGGCCCCTGTCTGTGTGCTTACTGTAATAGGAGACATTTTCACTAAATGACCAAATTTGCCTCTTCAAGGCGAGGGTTGTTGCTACTCCAGGCTAAGCAGTGCTGCTCAGTAATCCCAGCCTTCCCATGCAGTGTGTGAGAAACTGGCCCCGAGGATTCCCCACAGCCATTTCTCCTCTCCTTAGGAACATTCAGTCTTCTTTTTTTTCTTTCCTTCTTTTTTTTTTTTAGTTTGCTAACAAAATAATCTTAATTCCTCCTTTGAGACACAGAGAAAGGTGTTGAGAAAAAAACATTTTTAAAAAGAATATTAGATTGGCAACCAGGGGCACAATTGATCAACACAGTCTGATGGCTAGATCATCAGCTACCTAATTTTATTCCAAATATTATTTCATTCCATATTATAACTGGATTCTTGACAGTGAATTTTGATTCCACTTTTCCCAAAGAACTTTCATCTCTATCTCTAGTCCTAAGATCCATGCTGATGAGCTCAAAACCGTGTGGGTGCTACTTGGAAGGCCATGAGAGCTGAGTGGCCCTGTCTTGACCTCGTGAAGTGAACCTTAAGCCTTAGAAGTCAGGCCCACGTCTCACCTGATAGTGAGATTATTCACCGCAGCCCAGCCCCAGGCCTGCTTACACTAGTGCTAACATTGCATTGACAACTTGCCGTACAGATAAACACCATGGACTATTCATAGCTGAAGCATGGTCTTGTTGATAGTCGATCCTACTGCCCTGTCAGATAGTGTAACTTCTATTCCTTGGACTTTCGAAGAGCATAAATTAAATCATTTATAGTATTCATAAACGTCCATTGTCTACTAAAACAAAGTATTACCGATTTCTTAATAAGTTAACAAGCTGGCATATTTAACTTAATAAGTTAAATACTGACATATTTTCAGGAAAATGGAATTAAATAATATATAAAATTTTTCTTGACATTGATGCTTATTCCCTAAATGCTCTTTCTACGTCTGGTATTAGGAAGATTGATATGCCTCGGTTTATGCCTCTGCAGAGTCTTTCTTTCTAGTGTAAGTTTCCCATGCTGGAATGTCAGAAGTTTTCTCCTGTGGGCTTAGTCAATGCCACCATTTCATGACCTCTGTGTGCTAGAATGCTCCTTTCAAAGTGGCTGTCGTACCTTAGATCACAAATTCAATTCATATGCTCAACTGTAGATGGTCTGGACATGACGAAAGTAGGCTATGTTTTACAAATAATAACCTTGGTTGGCATATGTTGTTCTTGAATACACATTTTACCATTTTGGCCAAAATTAATATACTAAGTAGTTTTTAAGTAAAAAAATGAGGAAAGTCCAGCAGTTTTAAGCATGGAGCCATTTTTATTATGAACTCAAAAAAATTTCAATTCTTTTAAGTTTAATTTTTTTTTCTTTTTTCAGACAAGGTCCCACTCTGTAGCCCTGGTGGGCATGGAACTTGCTATGTAGACAGGCTGGCCTTGTACTCATAGAGATCCACCTGCCTCTCCCTTCCAAGTACTGGGATCTAAGGCATGTGCCACCATGTCCAGCCCTCAAAGTTTTACTTTCTTCAAATGCCTGGTTTCTTTTTGTACATGCATTCTGTAATAATTGCTATATGTGTAACATATAAAAAGAGCATACTTTGTTTCCCAACAACTATTCTTTGAATAGGTCTGATTGTAGGGACAGTTTTTCTGTGTTCTCTGAAAATGTTCGATATTATAAATAAACTATTGTCCTCATCTTTATTTTTGTCTTTATAATGTATTTATTATAAAAGAAGGAATGACTGTGGATTGCTGTCAACTATAAACACTTATGTATGTCAGCATTTACTGACCATCTACTGTGTGCATAACACTACTGATAAAAATTTTAATCATTCACATCAAAGAATATTTGACAACTGCTTACAAATCTGAGCTTTGTAATAATGTATACTTATTTTTGTTTTTATCAGTTTACTAAAATAGGTTGAAAATTGTATTTCCAGCTATAGTATTTAAAAAGGCCAGTCTTACTTTTACCTGTATATAAACTATAAAAGCTAAGAAGACTTTAAAAGTACACTTTTTAACTATCTCTTGCTGTTTTAAATTATAACAATTTATAGAGATGCAGTCATCTTTCTCTATAAAGCTATTTTGAAACACCAGGGCACCGCTCATCTTTTTGGCTTATACTAGGTGGAGTCTGTAGCTGCATGGCAGTGTGTGTATGTAAATAAATGGGGTTTACTAAAGTGTGCGTATGTAAATAAATGGGGTTTACTAAAGTGTGCATATGTAAATAAATGGGGTTTACTAAAGTGTGCGCTGCTTGTCATTCTTTGTGAGATGCTACAGCCTTAAATCACATCTCAGGGTCAGATGATGAGCCAGGGACTGTGGCAGCTATGATCCACTGGACAGAGTATCCAGTTTGGAGGTTGTACTTGCAGAGTATAGGGCTGTACGACTTTCGGCTTGTCAGGCAGGCACCCCTGGAGACATACCCTGCCCTGTATTAAATGCCCAGGGCCATGGCCTGCACTTCTGGATTCCTGCCAGTTGCTGAGGAGGCCAATATCCACCCAAAAGCATCGTTTATTCTAATTCCACCCCGCCAGTGTGAAGCAGCGAGGCTGTGAGGGCAGGCCCACAGGTCTTTTGTATGCATTATCAGAGTAACATTTTCACGGAAATGAAAGGCAGGCACTGAGCACCAAGGTCCCCTGTGACTTCCCTGGGCTTCTGTGGTGCGATGAGGATCTGGAACTGAAACTTTTCTTCTTGAAAGGAGAGAAAAAACAGTAGGGCCCTCTTGAGGAGAGTGAAGTCTGAACCCTTGCACAGCTCAAGGCCCTCATCCTGCTCTTCTAACGTGGCCTCAAACTGCGCCCGGAGTGCAGGTAATCTCAGCTGTGCCAGCCCCGTGCCTTCTTAACACGCAACAGTTGTAAGGCTCGTGCCTTCGAGATGAGCATTGACTGCCGCGTGTGATGCTCGAGCCAGCCTTTCCGAAACAGTAATCACTCCAAAGAAATAGCTCTTATGTCCCTGCTTGGAGAGATAACTATAACCGAGTTTAAACAGGGACTGCTTTGCACCGGTTATTTCTTCAAAACAAAAATCTACTCATACCAAATAAAATGAGACACTGTCGCCAGGCACCAGTGCAGACTCCAGATTGGGAAATAGTGTATTCTGAGATAATACTGCAACTCTGTTGTCATTCTAATACACAGGCCATCTCTTTAATATGCCAGAGCCATTTTAGTTTCTGACACTGTCGGGAACTAAAATAAATACTTAGTCAAATATTGTTAATGCTAACAGCCTTTTACAGTTGAAGAAACAAGTCACAAATTAAAAACTATGTCAGACAAGTTGATTCTAAAGGCGGTCTGCGATCTCGTGTTCTGGCTCACAGCCACCGTGTTGGCGAAGGCGGAGCAGTTGTGCTGTGAACGTTCTTGCCGCGGGAGAACGAGGCCAGGAACGTTTCCTTAAATCCTGAAGCATGAGCTCTTTGAGAACAGCACAAAACTGAGACAGAATCCACGTGAGAAAGAAAGAACTAAAGAGAAGTTTATAATGAACTTTTAATAAGACAAATTTAAAAAAAAAAGACTCCAGAGGCATTGATTATAAAGAATAAGCAATCCATTTGGGATTTATTGCATTTAAAGAAGGCAGATTATTAACAGTAGGTATGATAAATACAGTAAGAAAATAACTTTAAATCTCAAACAAAATAGTGAACAGAATTCAAGACTAAGCCATGTAAAGGCAATAAGGTAATAAAATTAGTGCCTAACTGGGTACAGGGGAAGCAGCTGAATTCTATTTCTTAAGTTTCCCTGCTACATTTGAGGATTTAAGTCACTTTAGCAAGTATATTTTATAACAGTTAGAAACACAACTAAAGATATAAATCCATTTTTTAAAGACTAAAGTTATTTGCTTAGTGGTACATAAAAGGCTTCAGAAAATTCAAGTTTAACAAAAACTGGAAGTGTAATCAAAGAAAGTGCACTTAAAGCTGTTTGCCAGCAATTAAAGGGAGCTTCCAGGCTGGGGGCGGAGCTCAGCACCCAAGCGCTTGCCTAGCAGGTGCCGGGCCCTGGCTTCAGTTCCCAGCACCACAGAGGAAAAACAAGTGGTGACTACCCCTTCTATTGGACGACTTTTCAGTCACCAAAAAGCACACAGGAATAAAATCAGTTCTCTTCTGAAAGCAGCACTGTGAATCTTAAGATGTAGAAACAAAACCTAAAAGAGACCCCACCCTCTGTATTTTCATCTGCGTCCTCCCTTTGGTGGCTTTTGTAGACCCTCTCTAGGAGTGAATGCTCTTTCAAAACAAAACAAAACATGATTGCCATTTTTAAATTCACATTAATTCCCTAATAGAAAGCTGTGATGTGTATGTGCCTTTTTATCTTAGTAACTTTAGAAACAGAAGTTTGCCAACAGCCAGCCATTTGCTGTTGTCACAGCAGACAGACACGTCATCCTCACAGCAGACAGACACGTCATCCTCACAGCAGACTGTCACCTCATGTAACTGGACCTAAACTGATGACTGGTTTTGCTAAAAAGAACTGACAAAGTCCACTGCACATTCTACATGCACTAAACAGATGTGCCCAGGCTCTCCCAAGCAAACCCAGATGACCCAGCAGAGTGGCTGCCCCTCAGTGCCAGCACAGGAGAGCGGGCTCCACCAGCAGGAAACAATAGTAGTTAGTCCCTGCTCAACGGCTGCAAGGGGCACAGATCTGAGATCCCAGTGATGACTTAACCACGTCCAAGTACACACATCCTGGGAGGAGGGAGAAACTCAGTTCTTAATATTCGAGTCAGTAATATTTTCTCCCAGATTAAATAGACCTTTTTCTCCAACTAAACACCAGGCAACTTCTTTGTGTCAGCATATACATTCTTCATAAACAGTGTTCTTTGTAATAGCAACGTTTGACTGAAGTAAGGGAAGGTAAGCACATGGCCCACTCTTTAAAAGACAATTCAGAGTTAAGCTGGTAAAGCTTCTAAGAAACAGCTTTGGCCTCGGATCCTTGAGGTCTCTCATGTGACTTCCCTTTGATGTTCAAGTTTAGCAGGTTTAGGACTACTTTGCAGGTTTAGAAGCACAGGGCACGCCCAAATGACATCCTTTAAGCCAGGACGGGGCTATCTCATAAGAGCTGGTCTTTCGGTGAGTGCTACGTGCTGGATCCTGTGCTTGGCAGCTTAACTCTCATCAGGAAATTAAGTACCTAAGGCTCAGCTGCACGGAGACTCAAGAGTTAAGTGGAAGTCTCTACATCTTAAGAAAATGCCTTTAACATCAACATAAAGAAACTGCCCCACGGGACCTCCAGATAAATAGTCCATCTGTCCAATGAGCTGGTCTCAAAAGAGGAATGTCACCTGGCTGGGCTGTAGGAGGCAATGTAAACATTTTAGACTGTGGCAGAGTTGTTTCCTAAGATTCATCCAGCATAAGCCAAAGGGGCTATGTCAGTGAGTCCCATCAAATTAGTCAGTGCATTGAAAGGCAAGTAAAACATCTCAGGAGACCACACCAGTTCACTGTTACCTTCCAACTGAGCCCTTCCGTAGACACAAAGCTAGTGTGCAGCCGATGAGTTTATCGTGTGAATGAACACCTCACTTTGACAAGACAGCATCGCTGCTGAATCTGTTGTGTAGTTTAAAGGATCGACTAGCATTTGCATTAGCAAGATTAATCAACCTGAGAACTAGAAAAAGGTGCAAACATAGTTCTGCCTTTGGCACAAGGACAGTAAGTGGTGCAGACAAGTTCTCGGTGGTGACCTAATGCTGGGCTGCTGCCCATCCACTTTTCACCTGACTGAGCTCACAGAAGAGAAGCAAGAAAAATGACCGTGGCTTGCTTATATTTTCTGCTTCTTTCCAAGTTCCAAACTGTGAGAGTAGGCAAATAATTTATCCCATCAGGGCACTAAAATTAAGAGGTTTTAATAAGATTACTCATAAAATACACTAATTGGGGGCATAGATAGTTAACTTAAAACACAGCAAGCAAGGAGAGTAATGGTGATAAAGTTCCCACTCCTTTCTGTAAATAGCTATTAATCTAGAAACGTGTGGTGCTAATCCTGTAAAGACAACTATAACTGAAGACGAGACACAAGAGCAGATAGTGTGTTCACATTAACTGATGTATCATAGCTACCATTAAATACGACTTCTACAAAATGTCAAGTTTCTAATTATGACTCGTATTTTTTAAAAGGCAATTTGGTAGCTTGGTTCTTTTCACTGATGAAGCAACCAGCTAGCAGAATTAAAGTCCCTAGTCCCACAGTCTGATTCTTACACCCACTGAAAGTCCGGCTGTCCGTGCAGCGGGACTGGCAGCAGGAAGCATGCATCCTGTCTCCATAAGGCTTGTCAGTGTCACTAACAGGAGCACTGAAGTAAAACGGCCCACCCAAAACCTGAGGGAAGGAACTGCTCATGACTCAGGAGTGCTGGATAAGGGTGCTGATGTAACAAAGTACAATTGTAAATGCAACAAGATTTTACATTGTAAACATCTTTAAAATTTAAAGTTTCAGCTAGCTTTTTCCTGAAATTAAATTTCTATATAACCTCTGCTCCCACTTTTTATCAATATGCTTCATTAGGGACATGATAAAGATTTTGGCAAAAATCCATTCAAAAACATGTATTTCTAAAGTACAAATGTTGCTTTCTTTTTGACGTATCATTATTTTACATTTTTCAAATGTCAGATATTTCTCTTTACATTTTTGTTCTAGGATTCTATTAAGCATTCCATATTTTAAAAATTTAATTTTTGACAGATTAAGAACTGCATATATATTATCATGTACATGTTTTGATGTCTATACCATGGAAGGGCTAAATTGAGTCAATATATACATTATTTCATATAGTTATCATTACAGAGTCCATATTAATGGCACTTGTTTTTTAAAATGTGACAGTTTTAGGCACAATAGTCAGATACTTCTGGCTCTACATTACAGAGAAGTGTACGAGCTGACAGCACGCTCCAGGCTCTTTCCTCCTGGGGCAAACCTGCTAGACCTGGGTGTGCGCCTAGGTGATGTCAGCCCAAGTGATAAGCTCTCCCGTCCCTCAGTGGCCACACATCTGCCTGCCCAGGAAGCCCCACAGTTGCACCTCTGCGGCAGCCTCCTGCTTGCAGAAGGCATCGCCTCGCTACCCTGTATAGGTGCTTGCATTTGGTTTATTTAAAAGTCACCTATCCTGATTAACCTGGGGGAATGAAGGATATAAACAACCATACAAATAAGTTTTCTTGGAGATTCATAAAACTATTCATACTTTTTTGAAACAGGAGTTATTGCCGAGTCCACCTGGAGTATCTACTGTTTAGAAGGAAACGGAGCAGCACCAAATGGGTCTAATTCGACTGGCTGGGGCTGTTGGGACTCACGTGGCGCGATGCTTTGCACCACAAGTTCTGTAAAGGGCACGGCACCGAAGTCATCCATTCTCAACGCGTCTACACTATGGAATGACCCGTGTACTGAATTCTGTCTTGGCCTCCCAGGCAAGATGGTATTATGATCAACACAGATGTCGCTTAGGCCCTGATGGGGCTGGTGCCACGATAACTCTGGAGGATGGAAAGGCTTGGCACCAAAGGGGTCCAGCAGACTCTCCTCGGGTTGCAGGGCGCTGCTCCTGTCTTTGCCATCAGTCAGTGCAACGCTGATGTTCTCCTTGGAGTCGGAAATGGTTAAAAACTCACTGCTGCTTTGTGAGTCTCTGCGGCCCACCTTCTTGTGTCTACGGACCCTCTCGGGGGTGCGGTAGGGGGGCTTCAGCGTCTTCTTTGCGCTGGTGGGTGTGCCGTGGTGGCGCTTCCCATTGCTTTTGGACAGGTCCTGCTTTGTTCGCCTCTGGCGAGAGGACAGTTTCTGCAAGCTGCGCTGTTTGACTTTTTGCTGCTGACTCCCAGTTATTTCCTCAAAGGGCACAAGCCCAAAAACGTCCTCCCTGCTTTCACTTCTACTCGCCGACGTGGAAAATGGCTGAAAGGGAGTGGAGCCAAATATATCTACACTTCTGGGCCGTGCAGGCAGAGGCCGCGTGTCGTCCCCCGCTGCGGGCCAGTCCTGTACGGTCACCTTCTTGTTGAAGGGGGCCTTTGTGAACACGTCAAAGTCCTCCTGCTCTGGAAATGTCTGCCGGGGGAGGTTCTGCGCATCCCCTCTGAGCTGTGGCTGTGGAGTGCGCACTGCAAAGGGCACGGCACCGAACACATCAAACTCCTGGCCAGAAGTCAGCGCATTAGCGGGTGAATGGGCAGGGGAGAGGAGTGCAGGGTTAGCGGCTGGGCTCCGCCCACCACCAGGTTGGCCTCTGCACTTGGCCTTAGCCTGTTCATACTCCGAGTCAGAGCTGTGCTTGTCCTCCTCTTCCTCATCTTCAGAGTCCATGAGCAGAGGCCTGTGACCCAGGTTCTCTGGCTCCGTGTCGTCATCATTAAAGTCCCCATGTTCTCCCTGAGCGTCCTCATCCTCTTGCTCTTCTTCACTGCTCTTCGGGGAAGGGGGGTCTGATTCAAAATCGCTTTCGGACTCGTCATGGCCCTTCTGCACTGGCCCACGAACTGCTGTATTCTCTGAAGTCTTCTTTACAGCTCGCTCATCTTTACATACTGGACTTGCGCATCCATTTTTGGTAGGGTTTGCAGTGATATTTTTTTGATTTGGAGAATGTTCAGTTTTCTTTTCAGGAGAACCTAAAGGTTCAAAGAAAAATCATTACAGTATTCAGGTATTTCAGTATCCACTCGTACTAAACACACGGCATTACTTGTTCTCAGCAGTTCCCTTCCTGGGAAGAGTGATGCTAGTTCTCTGACCTCATCCCGGGGAGGTGACGCCCTGTAATGCAGACGGTATAATACCCTACTCATCTCCATAGGTTTGGCATAGCTGCTCACTGCAAAGAAACTACATTCATAGCGCCTATCCTCCAGAAGGATACCCATGGTCTTCTCCATCATCAGATCAGACTCCTACTCTCCAAACACTCAATGTTCTCTTTACCATTAGCGTCTGCCTACCTACATGTCAGGATGCATTTTGTTTTACATCTGGACTCTTTCTAAAAAATGGTATTTTAAGTTAGTATCGATGTATCTCATATAGACTGGTTAAAGTTCAGAACCAAGTCCGACACAGACACTGTCAAGGACTGCACTAAAGCTGTGTGCCTTCTACGGCAGGCACATCTTTAACTAGAAAACCTTAGTTCACTGGAAAACATGCTACCTTCCTAAGACTCTAGCCTACTGAACTGGATGTTTCCAGAGGTGAAAATCAGTTTCTATTGATCCAATTACACATACTTATCGCTTCCTCTCTTTATGACTAAGGTGTTCTTCCAGTTACTGAGGACTGGAAGTACAGTATGAAGTCATGAAAACTACTACTTTCCATCACACAGTAGTCTTTGGAACAGTGGAAGGTTATTGCTTCTCTCCAGAATCCACACTGTCACATTCCAACTCTGTAGACCACTAACACCTTAAACACCGTAGGTGTCTACATTCCCCAGAGTTCTAGCCTTGGCTGTTCTCCATCCACATTCTCCCAAGTTCTAAACTGGACAGTGACTGCCGGGCACACCAGTAGCTGTGGGAGACAGAGGCAGATCCCAGGGTGCTCACTGGCAAACGAGTGGAGCACACGACAGGAGTTTCAGGATAGTGAGAGACCATGTCAAGAAGAGAGACAGTACAGAGAAACAAAGATGGGAAGAGGAACAGAAAAAGAAAAGAAGGGGTTGGTAGGACCAACAGGATAGTTCAGTAGGTGAGAATACTTGCCACCAAGGATTGACAACCCGGTTCAGTCCCTGGGATCCCTGTAGTGGAAGGAAAGAACTGACCTCCCCAAGCTGATCTGCATAGTGGGCCGGGACAAGTGTGTGCATGCATGCTCTTACAATAACAAAATGTGGCTGTTTTTTAAAGTAGATTGGACTTGAGAAATGACACTCATGTTGTCTTCAGCCTTCATAGCAGGTGGAAAAATGTAAGACTGGTAAGAACGTGAGCTAGATGGTGCTACTACGTACATGAAAGAATGCACTGGAAAATGCTCAAAATATTGTTTGGGGCCCTATCACTGTGTGGTAGAGAGGGATGGCAGCAAGACTACAGGATGGGGCACAGACATCCATGCAGTCAAAACACACACATACAAATAAAAATAAATCTTAAAAGGGGAGGGTACCAACAGTGTCCATTTATTAATGACATTAAATGAATTCTTTGTCATCATCTGCAACAAGGAGTTAAATTAAATTACTTCACCCATCATACTCAGTCACCTTCTAGTAACTTTTGTAGGCTCCACAGGTAAAGGTGAATCTAAATGAGAGGGAATGTATGAAGTAGCAAGGGGCAAGAAGCAATTCTGGGATAATTACCCAAACAATACAGGTCTACTAGAAAACTGATCAAAAGCAAGTAAACAGTGCACACATATCCACATGCCCAGGGTGGATTGCAATCCTGGGAACTACATCTCATCATTCAGTAACTCAGTGTGGGAACACAGCTAACAAGTGGCAACGGAGTGTTTCCAAAATGAGCACAAAGACACACACTCCCACAGATGCCAACTCTGGAACTGGCTCATGTAGTGCTTTTACTCCAGTCTCTCCTTCATAAAACTGAAGCAACAACAAAAAGTATTTGTCCAAATCACTTTGCATCTATATTCTCAGTAGCCACAGTAGCATTCTTTAGATGGCTTTTCTGTCTCCCCAGTGCCTGCTCCTTTGGAAGCTATGTGAGCCCAGAGCTGTCTGCCTGGCTGGAAACCAGGCTGGAGGGGAGGCTGTGAACACACATAGAGAACACCCAGCATCTGTCTACCTGTCCAGTAGTCACGAGCTCATGCAGTCAGAGGTCTAGCACCTGCAAAGGAAAGGCAGTGCCAACAGCGAGTCCCTGTAATCCTAGACACGGTCGCTTTCTGCTGCAGCAGCAGCTTCTCATGGCCTTTCTCTACGGTGAAACTACTTAAGAGCTAAAAGAGGAGAATTATACAAAAATGAGTTTCAGTGGCCCGGGCCTTAGGTGCTAACAGTTACCTCCCACAGATGTGCAAACCCTGACACCCCTGTGTCTTACAAACAATGGAAACCACCGTGCCTACTACAGCCTCCTGAGTACCTTAAGTCACCTCTGCATAAACACATTATAATTCCTGACACAACATCACGCTGCATGCATTGTTGGTGGCGTGGGAAGAACATGCCCACATCTGTTTTTAATATTTTTAATCCACAGTGGGCTGAATCCAAAGGTGCAGAGGGTCAACTGCATCTTACAGCTTTTAGCCCTATTCTATGGGCACAAAAAGAGTCAAAAAAAAAAAAAGCTGGTTAAAACTGTTTGACACACAGTACCTTAGTTATAGAACTAATATGTATATAGTTACAACAACATAGTGACTTCTGGCTAAAAGCTGCCCTTAACATATACAAACTATTTCTTTGCCTAAACACATTCCTCTAATTTGAAAAAGAAAAATGCACATGCTGAAAATAAATACGGAGTCAGGAGAATGCCTCAAATATCCCTATTATTTGCTTCTGGGAACAGACTGCTTCTTCCAAGTTATTAGATTAAATGATACATATTTGATTTATTATGAAATTTAATCAGGATTACCTCACTGCTAAAGTTAATTTCCCAAGAGTATAGTCCAAATATGTTGCTTTGAATTTCACTATCTCCTGTCGTCATCATCTTCTGAGATTTGTAGTGATATAAAAATGGCTGCTTTGAAGGAAGTAAGCATGGGACGGGACATGTGACCTACAGCACAGACGTTCTGGGAGTGTGGATCTTCTCTGAGTTACATTGGTAGTGACTGGCATGGGAGGAATGCTTGGTTTCATACGCTGGGCAACTGATCTTAGCTGGGGTCTAATTTCCCTGGTACTGAACAGCCCAGAGCGGGGCCGAGGGGACGCCCAGTCAAGACAGTCTTACTCTTGCTTTATGCCTGGACTACAGCTAAGATGCTCGGGCTTTTGAGTACTTTAGCAAGATGCATGTTGGTCAGTGACAGTAGAGCAAGCTGAACAGAGTCTGCAAAGATTTAATAAGCAAATGGCAAGCGGGAAATTTGTAGGATCAGCTATTGCTTTGAATACTGTCTCCTAAATATAAAAACATGTAAAACTTAGTTGAAACATAATAAATAGACTTTTAATAAACATTCAAAATAGTGAATATATTAATATATTCCACATTTAGGTAAGAAAAAAACATGAATAAATTTTTAAGTTCATATCTGTAGTAAGAAAACTGTTCCTACTTTTAAAGAACATTTTCAAAAACTCAACATTGTGGATTCAATTATGAGTCCTCTGCCTTTAGAGCCCAAAGAAAAAGCATCAGCTTCCATGCACGTCCGAGACTCAGGAATTCCATAATTGCTAGTGCTCCGGAGTCCACACACCCAAAGGGGCCTTTCTTCAGAAGTACCTGGACCAGGGTGGGCTCTAGACACAATTCATGGATGGAAATCTTTCTCTCCTGGTCCCCATTGTCATAAATAAGAGCATATGATCATTTTGTCAAGTTGAGTGTGAATCCCAGAAATGGGAAGTCACTCAGACCAAAACCTGAGACTATGGTGACTAAGATAAGCAATGCAGATGTGGGTAGATTAGTAAGAACAGCAACTAAAACAGGTGCTGAGTTTTAAGTCTCTTGCTTAAGATCCTGCAGGGAAATTCTAAGTTAGTACCAGAAGCCACATGAAAGCCAAGAAATGGCTGAATGAGCACACACACAAATTCTGGCAAGAGAAGTGTTCATCCATCTCATCACCTCATGCACAGAGCTGCGAGGTAACGGATGCGTCAGCTACTCACGACCTCAGCAACATAAGCAGCATTTACTAAAGTGGAATAACTTGACCATTTGCTAAGTGTCTACATGAAAACAAACGGAAGAATTCTTCTTCATCAGCAGAAGATGCTCCATGAAAGCACCTTTTGAAGGCTTGGCTAGAGTCTTATATTATTCAGATTTACTTCTTCCACCTGAGAAATGAAGCTGTCAGTCTGACATCTTCTCTCAGCGGTTAAAGTGAAGATGCACAGGCACTGAGGACAGCGGTTCTGGTGCTAGTGGTCCTCAGTAAAGGGCCACTGTCCCTGCTACTGACCGGACTATCTTCACAGAGTGCCTAGCTACACACCTGACGGTTCTAAGAATGGAGGAACGAGGTCAAGGAAGTAATAGTAAGTCTATCAGCTGTCCGTATTGACCCCTCAACACTAGGCTCCCACAACACTAGAATGAGTCTGTAAGGTTTGCTATGATCTTTTTTTGTCTCCATTTTACACATCTTCAAACCTATTTCCCATGTCTACAGACTGCCATGCCCCTGA